CACAGGACTGTGGGTGATTGTCAATTGGTGAACTTTCAAACCGATTGGTTCTGTTTTGTCATGTGTTTTCTTGATAATATTTATGACGGCTTATACTTGGCTGACTGACTGAGCTTCATGACCTTAAACCGTTTTGCCAGTGGATTCATATTTTCAGTTCAATTGTCCAACTTTTTCAAGTCATTAAGAACAATGATATGATTTTGAGGGTAGGTATTATATTGACAGTCGTTTTCTTGTTTAAACAAAAAGGCTGAAGATTTTTCAAAAATATTTCTGATCTAATTGGTTCTGATATAGCTTGATACTTTGAAATAAATCAGATATTTACGTTAAGTTAGGTTAGGTAGTATGTGTAATTAGATGTTTTTATGCAGTACTAGATACTGTATATCTATACTAGCAGTTGGTGATATGGAATCAGTTGCCTCCTGTACTGGGAACATCTTTGTGTGGACCTTAAGGGTCGCATGATTAATATAATCGGCAAGTACTCTTACACTTGTTGAATTTTTTATTTCGTGTATAAGATTGAAAACTAAGAATTTGCTTTTTTTTCTAAATCTAGGAATCCTACGTACGCACTCTTTCCTTTTTCTATCATTTTCTTTATTGTTACCCTAAAGTCTCCCAGGTTCTTCTATTTCTTCTAAATCCATATTGATCTTTACCTAATTGTTCTTCCATCCTTCTCTGTATAATCCTAGTTAAGATTTTTGAGGCATGGGAAGTTATATCATCATCATCATAAGGTCACCAGTCCTAAGACTGGTTGGACACGCACCTCCACTCCTTCCTATCCTGCGATAATCTTCGCATTTCCCTACATCTAAAGCAACCCATATCCTTAACTATTTGCGGACAGTAATCTAATCTAGGTCTACCTCTACCCTTCCTAACTTCCGTTTCTGCCTCTAATATGTATGTATATATGAATAAGTATTATTTTTGTCGTCATTTTCACCTAATTTTAGTAAAGCTTTTGATTTACACCCGTGCTGCAAGTAAAGCTTCTTTTTCAATTTTGGTATAAATACAGATTTATAAAATGTTAACACGCATTAAAAACACACCATGTGTTTGACTCCTTAAGAATTATTTGTTAAATAGGTTTTATAATTTTCACAATTGTAATCAATATGAGAAATTACGTACATCGCTGAATTTATACTTTAAAATTCTTATTTTTCAACTTGTTCGGGCGGGTGGAAGGGTACAGGAGTACTTAAAGCGATATCCTTAAAGACAATAATAAGGGTGTGTTTAACATTTCTTTTACACCGAGTGGTATGGCGTAAAACTTTGGACCATTGGCAGAGAAGCCATTGGTTAGCATTCAAGGAGACATCGGCTCGATTCGGGTCCGCTTGCCCTGGTTCAAGTTTTTCTATGGTTCTTTTGGATCACTTAGGTAACATAGATGGTGGGGCAATAATATTCCACAGATAATATTTTACTCATTTCGTCCGTCTCATCTTTCTTCTGTACCACCACCATCACATTCCCAAGATTCCTAAAAGGAAGCTGGTGAAGCCTTTGCGCTCTACCCTCTGGGTAGTCCGAAGAGACTGCCCGCTGACCAGCATTAGCCGAAGGAAATGAAAAGCCAAAAGGTTTTTTCTTCTTTTGCTTCACGTTAAAGTTCGAGAGATTTTTGTGCTCCATTATTTATATGGAAATTATATTAGTGGTTGAGAGGCGTCCGTTAATTACGTGAGGCATTCAGGGGGGAGGTCCAGTCGAATCGTACCCAATATCAGTTGGGAGAGAGGAGGTCTCGGTCAATATCACGCATTTCTTTCCCGGAGAAACAGCGTAAAATATTGCGATAAACTGGGTTAAATTAGAAATGTTACAAATGGCGCAGTAGCACGATGCTACATTTTAGGATTACGTATGTTCCAACAAGGTCCACTTGTGTGGATATCTANGATTAGATTTTCGTTAGTTCAAACAAATACACGGGTGAACATCAATGTGGTGCCTTTGTATTTCTCGCAACGAAAAGGCAATGCCTCTAAATGATTCAAAGATGGAGCTACTAATACGAACAATGGAATGGAACTCGGTGTGACAGAATTGCAACTCATTTTAAACGGTTAGAGATATGCCTCTTCCCATTACTGAAATGCGCCGTGACAAAATTCCAAATTCTAACATACTTTATCTAGTCTTTTTCACGTCTGGTGTGAATTCTTTTTATTCGCGCAGCTTTATTCAAGGTCGGGCGAACTGTCCATAAGGGAGTTTGGAAAAGTTCCCCCTGCCCTTTGCATTCCTAAACATAAGCATTTCAATCCAATAACCCTGAGAACTATAATTCATGTATACAACTCAAAACAGTATATCATTTCCACTTTATTGTAATACGAAAAACAATTAAATAATTATAGACAGAAGCAAAGCTTTCGATACCAACAAATGATACCAACAAAAGGTCGTTGCGTTTAGAAAAAAATCAACGTTGAACTTTTTTTGCCTTTAAAGGTCGTTTGATTCCTAAAATTCCCGAACCCTTTCAAAGTCCCAGTCCACCCCTGTCTCTTACCGTTTGAAACGAGTTTTACTTATGAATGTAAAATGCACATTTTGGTTTTTTGAATTGTCTCAATCTCATTGCAAACTGTGACCGAAAAATCACTATTAATCCCATCCCTTCAAAACAATAGGGTTATCGTTGATGTTGATGTGCAGATGTTGCTGTGTAGAAAACACATTTCTGGCAGAAGTCCCATTGTAGCATACGCTGACTCATGGATCATGAGACTACAAAGAACAAGAACTGGCACTTGTATTCTGTTGGTATGAAATGATTCATTTGAGTTTTGCGGTGAGCAAGAGAAGACATACCTATATCGTATATTTTTGTTTTACGAGCACTATATTCTAATGGTCTCCTCTGACCTCATCTTTAACTACCTGTAACATATCAATATGCGACTTTCTATCCTTATTTTATTAATTATCTTGGTGTCCTTCAGTTTTCTTTTATTTGTAATATAGGTATACAATTGTTGAAATAATTCAACAATTTTGAAGACAACCTGACAATCTCCTTTTCATGTCTAGAAAATCCTATCGAAATCATTTTGTCCGTTTCAAAGGTTATTTTGTACACGAAGACAAACAAACAGGAATTTTTATACAGGCGGTTTGTGTTATATTAGCCTACTAATAATCATATGAACTTTATGCGTATACGTATGAACAACAAGTTACGACTACTTTACACAATAAAGTTCATATATCCGTTTACCCATTAATATTCCCAAGCCGTTCACAAATTCTTGATCTGAGATGGGTAGAAGAGCGGAAAAAGAAGGAAATTGTTTCTAAACTATTTTTTCTACAGTACTACCAAAATTTATTTTGAAAGAGAACATTCAAATTTTTTAAGACATCTTGCATGATAGTTTAGAAATTGAAAGGAGAGTTTGAATGCAAATGCCTTGTGAATGAAGGGTTAAATTCAGATAGTTGATCAATTTAGGAGATCTAATGCATAAACACACTACTTAATAGAGGTAGGAAGTTAGTAGGGAAAGAGCGAATATAAACACAGGAGACGAAAAAATAAAAGGAGTGGCTGATCTTCGGTACCTAGGAAGCCAGATAAGTCAGGACGGAAGGACTAGTAGGGATATAAAGCAGAAGATAGCGCAGGGTCGAGTCGCCTTTAATAAAAAGAAGTCACTTCTATGTTCACGCACGATTAATTTAGAAATTAGAAAAATATTGTTAAATGAGTATGTTTGAAGCGCGACGTTGTACGATTGCGAAACATGGATAGTGGGCGCGGACGAAAAGAAAATGTAAGAAACGTTTGAAATGTGCTGTTACGGGCGAATGATGAGGGTACCGTGGATAGAGAAGGTTAGAAATGAAGAGGTATTAGAAAGAATAGGAAAACGGAGGATTCTATGGAAGTTAAGCTCAGGATAGGAAAGTGGAGGTGTGTGTCCAATCAGTCATATGTGAAGTACCAAATAAATTGTAAAAGAGGAACACCTTTACATAAGCAGAATGCAGATTCGGGCTATAGGGCCGTAGTCTACGTGAACTATTCTGCTGTCCGGACGTTTCGTCAGCTACTGCGGCTGACATCCTCAGTGGTAGTGCTGCGTTGACAACGTGAACGTGACAGCGGCTGTCGATATAATCTAAATTCACGTTGTCACCACTGAGAATGTCAGCCGCAGTAGCTGATGAAACGTCTGAACAGAATAGTTCACTTAGACCACGGCACTATAGCTCGAATCTTTATTCTATTATGGATTCCGGCCGTGAAAGCCTTTGTTCTTAAACCTTTACATAAGCTTCATAAACCATTAAATACTTGAATAGCTGAACACGGTTCACTGAAATAAGTTAAAAAAATCTGAAATTATTATAATTGAGTGAAATCTAGGCCAATAAGATTAAAATACTTTTTATTTGTGAAAAACTGCACCATAATAATAATAATTTAAAAATCCATCTGTCAAAGACGATAAGGCAGTGTAGTATACAAATGAAAAAACATTAAATTCCATGATCTTCAGCTTTACACAATCACAAATGAGCGACTGGTTTTATACTATCGTCGCATTTTCCCAGGCAATCAACGCCCTCTTTCAGCATTCCTTTCCTATAATAACGCATCCATATCTGGTAATATTCGCCAATCTTTTTCAGCCAAGAACGTCGTTATCTTCATCTGCAGTAACAACCTTTTTCTCCATTTTATCCGCCTCTTTCATAATTTTTCTTTTGCAAGCGTCCGCACGAAGTCCCACTTTTTGTATGTAACATAGCCAACGCCGAATTCAACAACTTAGATCTTTACCGTGGTGCTTTTCCCCGAGATTTTCCGACGCCGTACGAGTTTCACCGATACCAGATCGGAAAGCTCGTTTTAGGGATGCTGTAATCAGCTTGCAAGCAGGGTGGTTTCTATACGGGTAGTAGTAGTTGGCGTTGGAGGCGAAGTGTTTTTGGAAGTTAAATGACTATCGGCTAGCTTTAATTCATCTGAATCTGACAAGTGAACTGTGATAAATTGAACTCAATCTTTGTTTTAATTCATAACAATGAATTTTTCGATTGTTAGATATTTTAAATTACGGAAAAGCTAACAGAACGTGCTGATTTTAAGAGACGTCTTTTATTTAGCAATTTACAGTGTTGAACATGTGGCCCATTCAAGAATGATTTTGTTTGTATGTAAAATTGCCGATGACGAATTTCTTTTTGACTCGATGCGGGGTGATGGTAATTGTGTATTAGAAACGTTAGAAAGAGATAGTGCGAGGACAGATTTAATTATTATGAAGAGAGTGCTCACTTAAAAGAAGCTTCCTGAATTAAAATATGTCTTGGGAGTCGTTGAATTCGCAGGACTACAGGTTGTAAGTATCAAATGCTCCCTGTGTATTATGTACATGTGTATGTGTGAATCTACCCATGTTCATGTACGTATACATACATATATACATAGGTACAATGCAATTAAATTATCTGCAATTTCCTACATAGACATTACGATGATCCTTGTTTCTATCACTTCATCGAATTGTATTTTGCCAACAGGTGAAATGATTGTATACCTAAATATAATTGGAAAATATTATTTATCTCCAAAAACAATGCTGTGTAAATAAATAAAGCCAAAACCAATAAACGAAAAATTGTGTATTATGTATAACAAACAAATTGATAATAATTAATAAACTTCAGTTCTACAGGAATTTATAGCATGTTTATATTTATTTCAGCTAATACCTAATTCAGAAATGATATAGATAGTTTTAATTTACTACCATTTACTGTTTTTGGAGATACTGACCTTTCAGTTCTACGTATGCATTAGTTTGTTAAGTATCCAATAATTGGTAAAATCACTAAACCTTTCCCATGTTAAAATTACAAATTCGAAGTATTATTTCGGTTAATATATATCTACGTATATTTTTTGTATCTTGCTTCATTAAAAAGGGTGCAGTTAATCTAACAAAAATATTTGCATATTTTAATTTTGTGTTTTGATTTTGCAACTTTTTTGTTAATAATAAATGGCCTACCATTCGAACAAAAGAACGTTATTTAGGTTTTTCATTCCCAATAATGTAATAAACCTACTCCACTAGGTTTTGATTTGGTACCCTTCTTAATGAGGTTCACTGACTTTTATGCATCCTTTTGAGGGTGCATCGTTCGCCTAAATAGCATATACAAAATTTACTTGATCGGTCACTTTATACATAAATCCAACTAATGATTTTCTCATTGTTTTGGTCATATACAGACTGTGGAACAAGGTAGTTCTACTTTTCTGCATCTACAATTGATGCCACATCCCTTTGTGCAATTTAGGGTTAGTTTAAATTTACCTCGGAAAAGATTTAGACCCTCAGTAATGGAGTTGGACTTATCATTTATTACAACCAATAACTACTCTAATTCTTTCTGCACCATTTTCAACTTCGTAATACTTCTTTTGCAATTGCATAGCAGGATTGCCATTGTCTGACGATATATCTGAGTTCAACGACGATGAAGCCGATCTAATTTCGTTATTTTCCGCTAACAATTATATAAAAATAAATATATGGAAGATAAGAAGAAACTAGCGAAAATGAACGGTAATTAACAAAGTCATGGAATAACTTAACCATGGACTAGGATACAGAGGAAAAAGCGCACCTTACATTCACCTCAAAGGTGGTGCAGAAATGAATACAGCGCAATGCCCCAGTAAATTTTACCTTTTTTATGTAGATTTATATCTCACAAATAAACGTTATACTAATCAAAATTAATGTTAATCCAATATCTTGTGAGATACTTGAAAAAAATATTTATCATGACCTTTGATCACTTGAAACTTTTGTAGACGTTCAGTTGGATCTACGACTTTTGATGAAATATTTGTGAGGCTAAAATAAAGACAATTCCGCTAACAATTTTTTTCTGTATAAAGTGACTGGGCGTATTATTTCTTTCCTTAAATAGGAAGGTTGTTATCGTACAAAAACCTCGCTTTTTATGTACGTAAAGAGCTTCCCCAGATTAGATTGCCAGTTTACTTTTCATTGCACGCTGATTTCGAATGAGGAAATGGTCCATATTTTTATAAACGAACTGACTTAACATTAATTTATATGGTTAATCGTAATTGTATGTTAATAATATTTTTTGAAGTTTTCAGAACACATATAATCAATGAGTACAAGCCGCTATTGATAAAATTTTTTTAATATTTGTCACTTATTATAAGCATAAGAATATTCTATATTGTCCTCTTTTACAATGTTCGTCGCATCCACCTAAAATAGAAATTACATCTAGGTTTAATGTACAGTGACTACTATTATGTTCCATGACATAAATACCTATTATATCATAGTATCATAAGCCTATATATTCAAAACAGTCTTGTTATCACCTCACATGTAAATTTTATGTCAATCGTTTGCATAGATTCATTTGTTATGAGTAATGGAAAAATTTGGAAATACAGATAAAACTAGGTGTTCTGCGTAATAAATAAAATTTTATAAATGAACATCGCGGCATCGAAATCAATTCTTTTTTGAACACTCCTTCATTCATTTCTTCTTCAGTCTTTCGGTCTGCCTTTAGTTCCCGCTTCTTAAAAGAAAACGCCCTCATACACACACAATTAGTGAATAAAAGGTACACAGTACATATGTAGCAAAATAGAGAAGTAAATATTAGGAGGGGAGTCAGACAGGGATGCATACTGTCACAGCTACCTTTTAATGTATACATCGAAGACGCGATCAATATCATTAAAGACAGTACGACTGTAGGGATAGATATACAGGGGCAAAAGATTAGTATGCTTAGATTTGTAGATAACATAGCAGTATTAGCATCTAGCAAGGAGGAGTTAGAGATAAATTTAAATAAAATGGAAGCAGTATTGACAAAACAGTATTGTGAAAAAGGACGGAAAGAGTAGTAGGGATATAAAGCAGAGGATAGTTCAGGGTCGAGTCGCCTTCAATGAAAAGAAGTCACTTCTATGCTTGCGAACGGTTAATTTAGAAATTCGAAAATAATTGTTAAATGTTTGGAGCGCGGCGCTGTACGGGTGCGAAACATGGACAGTGGGCGCGGCGGAGAAATGTGGTGTTACAGGCGAATGATGAAGATACCGTGGATAGAGTAGGTTAGAAATGAAGAGGTATTAGAAAGAATAGGAGAACAGAGGATTCTATTTATGTCAATAAGAAATAGGCGAGATACGTAGGCCAGTAGGACACTTTTTCAGGCATGCCGGTCTAGTCAGAAGCATATTAGAGGCAGAAACAGGAAACCGAGCGGCATGGCCTAGAGGTCTAGACCATTGCTTAGCATTCGGGAGGACGCCGATTCAATTCCGGGTCCGTCTGCCTTGGTCCAAGTTTTTCTGTGATTTCCTTGGATCACTTAGGCAAATGCTGAGGCAGTAATATTCCACAGATAATCTTTCACTCTCTTCTTTCACCACCCACCCATTCCCACGATTCCTGAAAGCAGGCTGAAGAGGGCCTTCCGCCCTACCTTCCGGCATAGTCCGGAGGGACTGCCCGCCCACCAGCATTA